CTCTTATTTTTGCATTCTTGGTATGAATTTTAGTGTGTAGTGACATTGCTTAACTTTGATTTACATCACTAAGTGGTCTCTTATTCCCTTTTATGACGTTCTTAAAAATTACAACCAATTCCTGACGGAAAATCAAAGAGGAATAAGAGTAGACAATTAGGAAAATTAGAGAACAGTCTTTAATTTGGAAGTTTGATTAGTTCATTTTTTTTTTTAGGCACTATTAGGGTTATTTTTCTTCCAATCTTCCATAAAAGTTAAACAATTTGTTTGGATAAAATTTTATGCGCATCTAGGCATTGAGGCGCAAGGCATTAGGGGTCATGCGCCTTTTGTAGTCTAGGCTAGGCAATTTCAATGAGGCGCCCAAGGATTTTTTTCAATTTTTTTATTTTTATTTTTATTTTTATTGTTTATTATGTGCGCCTCACTTCAATGTGGCGCGCCAGCACTGAGGCGTGCCTTAGGTGCAAGGAACTCCGAAATGCCTTGGTGCGCCTTGAGCCTTTTTATACATTGGGAATTATGAAAGGGAGAATTATTTTCACCCTTTACAAACTTATACCATCTTTAAACTTCATCAAGGGAGGTAGCATATTTACATAATCTGAAGGGAGGGGAGGGTAGAAGAAAATCAATTCCTCTGTTTAGGACTTTTGGGAAGAGATGAGAATTAGGAGAGGAAGGAATATTTTTTTTTTTTTTTTAAATCTTACAAAAGGGAGAATTATTTAACCCTTCACAAGCTCATACCAATTTTAAACTTCATCCATGGAGGTAGCATATTTACAAAAGCTGAGCCCCAAAAAAATTGGCCCTTAATCACTCTCTTCCCATGACCTCCTAGCCACTCGCTGCCACCACCAACCACCTTGCTAAATTTTTTGTCAATCTTCACCGCTAGCAATACCGCAACAACCCTTGCAATTACACCTGAAGATGTCTGCACCTCTCTTCATTACCGCACCTCTAGTGAAGACGAAGATAATACAAATCAAATAAATTGATGTAATTGCACCTCAACGAAAGAAAGATATAAATTCAGTCAATCGTTAATACGTACAATAGAGAGAGAAGGGGAAGAAAGAGAAAATTTTGGTTAGCTATCATGAGTGGCTGTGTGTAAGAGTAATCATAATACAGTTTTGAAGGATTTATTTAGGAAATTCTACATGGTGGCTTCCTGGTTTGGTTTGGGCTTTCTGCATGGTGGAAACAAGATTTTTTTATTTTTAGGGTTAATCTATATACATCTCCTTGTCAAAAAAAAGAAAAAAGTAAATTACATCTAGTGCCCTCATTGCTCTTAATACAGCTAACCCACCGTTGGAGAGAAAATTATGGGTTGTCATTAATGGATGTAAGAACATTTTAGTCAGTGTATTGTTTTGAAGGATTGTATAAATTTGGAAAATTCTACATGGTGGCCTTTTGGTTTGGGGTTTTCTGCATGGTGGAAACCACAAAAAAAAAAAAAAAAAAAAAAAAAAAAAGAAGTGACATTTTAAAGTGACCTTAGGGTGTAGTGTATTACATCTAGTGCCCTTATTGCTCTTACATTATTTGATTGTACTGACCATCCCCTTAGTGAATTACTCTCCACTTCCACGACCGATATCTCCTCACTGTCCCAACCACCTGCACAACCAACCCATGACTCCACCTTCACCGCCTACTCCAGCAACCTTCACCTCCAAATTCTAATTGTTTGCTCATAAATATAGGCAAATAAAGTGGTTCTAAGACCTTGTCCATTAGTATTCTAATTCAGATAGTTCCAGCTTCATTTCTAACTCTTAAAGTCCTAATCTCTACAAATATTGTGGATGTGAGACCATGTGTCACAAAGAGTGATGCAAATGTATGAACCTGCATTATTGAGGAAACTCCAAATTTGTGTACTTTGTCCAGTACTAGTACATAAATGGCAGAGGACAGAGGATTCAACTCAAGATTAATATTGATTGTTTGTCACTGGTATCATCTGATGAACCATTCTTTTCAAATTAAGGTTACCAAATCTTCTCTTATTTGGTTTGGGATATTACTAACAGTGTGTTTGGATAGATAATTGGGAATGAATAGAAGGGGAGGGAAGGAGAGGGATGAATGATGAGTTTTCCTTTCAAATCTCTCCATTGTTGGAGAGATCAATTTCTTACAATTTAATCCTTCCATTTCTCTCCCCTCCAATTCCCTTCCTTCATTTGTTATAAAATGAAAGATAATTCATCCCTCCATTTCCCTTCCGGCCTTCCCTTCCCTTCCTTTCCCTCCATTTCATTCAATCCAAACAAAATGTTCATTCTCCCTGCATCAAATTAGTAAATCAAGAAAAAGTCATGCAAGCCGCCTTCGGTTTTTATCATTATCAAGTATTACTTGTGCGTGCATGATGATGTGAGTGAGATTAAAAAGGAGCTGCTTGTCTTTAATCTTTATGCTTGCAATGATTTACCTTTTGTGTGTTAGTGGCATTGCATATCACTGGGCTACTGGTATCAAGCAAGTGTTTTAGGTGCTAAATTTTTCTATAATAATTTGCTGTTGTATTTTTAAGGCATGGTCTGCTGAGCTGGTTTATTTCCTAGATGCAGGCCTCCCTCTTGCGCCACCCCCCTCCTTACAAGAAAAAAAAAAGGCTTTGTTGTTAATTTGCAGATCAGAATTTTATATATACATGTGTTGTGGTATCTTTGATGAAGCTTGTGTAATTTACTTTCAGGTTGGCAGAAAATCACATGGAAAAGAAGATTCATCGAGTAAAGAGTGTGATGTTGATGACTTGTAAGCTACTAATTTCTTTCATTGGCTGTACAAAAGTAATGCAAGTATGTAACTGGTACTTATTGCTCTCTATCTTTGCAGACAAAGTCACAGTGAACATGGCAGTTCTCGCAAAAGATCTCGTCGTTGATCTTCCTGTATCTTTATCTTTGGTGCCAAAGGAGGGTAAATTTGCAAAATCAGTCTGGTGTCAAGTTGCTGGCTTGGTGGTGATACTTGTCTATCAAGATTTTCGAAGCATATACAGGAGTATTATGAGTTCTCTCCAGAACATAGAATTTATATTTCTTGTGTCTTTGTTCTGGCTGTAACATATTTTTGTAACTAATATATAGTACATTGGTTGTAGGATTAGAACCAAGCTGTACAGGAAAGCACCATTTATTCACCCCTGCTGGTTTTTTGGTGGATAGGGTTTTGGGATAGGAAAAGATAGGTATTGGTTATGTAGCTTCATTGAATTCATTTAAGCTGACTAAATCCTTCATTGTTAGTGAAGTAGAGAACAATATTGGGATTTCAAAATCTTAGAGGTGTAATTGTCAGTTGCTAGCTTTTAAGATACTAGTGAGTAGTGAGATAGTTTAGTAGACTTTTCTCTCAAAAATACAATATATTCTGATGGATTTAATAAACTAGTCATCATAAAGAATCGAAACTTTGTCTGGAGTCTGATCCCTTGAAGAACATAATATTTTCGTCTCTCTAAGATCACCCAATTGAAAGAAAACTAAGATCCCTTGAGGTAACGGTCCTTTATGACTTGGGTGTTTGAATCACTTAACTACTTGAAGTGATGTTGAAAATGAAGATACCCCTAGATTTGTGTGAAGAAAGAATTTGACGATTCAGGTTGAGACGGTAAATTATTGGTTTTTTTTTTTTTCGTTATCACGAGTGGCAAGCCTCAAAATATAATAGCAGAGCCTAGTACAAACTAAGAAAAAGAAAAACAAGCAACAAACTAAACGAAAAGCAAAACAACTACATTATTCAATTGTTCGAAACCAGCAGCAGTATATATGGAGCTCCAAGAGGCACCATCCTTGGTCTCGACACTCCCCCGCATGTCCTCCAATAAAACGATTCGAAGATCCTCCGAGACTGCCTCAAGGATAATAATAGGAACATTAGACGTCACTTCGTAATTGGCTAATCAATCTAATGGTAAGTTCCCAATCCCGCTTAGCAATTAGGGACTTACATTTGCGAATGAAATGAATATAAGGAGAGTTGGGGGGAGTACGATCCACCAACATTCGAATTATAGCTTCCGAATCTATACACTGTGATTTGGATCTTCCGATGTCCCGTATTCCAAGCTATGGCCATACCTCGCAAGACAGCAAGAAGCAAGAAGTTGTTTGCTCTGATTTATGGACACAGTACATTATTGTAAAATTGGATAAAGTTTTGTTCAAAACTAACCCAAGCAAAGATTAAAAACCAAAATTTCAATTTTAGAAAGAAAAATTTAGATTTAGGAGAAGGAAAGAGAAAATGAAGGTAGGGAGGGAGAATTTAACAATTGTGAAATATCTAGAAAATATTTCAAATTAAAATCGAAATTTAATTCAATCCGAATCGAATAAAAAATACGGATCGTATACGAATTTTAAATCAAATCGAATCGAATTGAAATATTTTGAAAATTCAGTTTTTCGGATTGACATTATTTGAAACTAAAAAAATCCAAAATATATTACAATAGGTTTTGGCTTGTATTTTTAAGATAAGTGTATTTATGATAGGAAAAATTGGTCGCAACAACACTAACTATGATAAAGATGCGTGCAACATAACTTTTCAAGAGTTCGATCGACATAACAAACTATGTATATGGGTGCACGTAATAGAATAAATGACACCAACGAACAAAGTTTTTGTGTGAAAAGTGGAATCTTCATTATTTTTGATTTAGTTTCCTTTCCCTCTCCACTTGATTAAATACTAAATTGATAAATAAAAGAAAATAATCTGAAAACTATTCCACCAAATTTCATGATACATTAGTCACTTTCTAATACCAAATCCCACAAACGCTTCAAAATACTTAATTCAAACAACAATATTAGGATTAGATTTTACGATAGGTCAAATTGATTTTCTGGTGTTTGATGTGCAACACTTAAATTGTAGAGGTTGAGAGAAATAATATTTTTTGATTTATTATATCACATATATCATATGGTTTAGAAAAAAAAAAAAAAAAAATAGAAAACCACAATAATACCAAACGAAAACTTTTTCACACTATCAAATCGTTTCGATTACTTTGGAACACAGGGAGTAAATCGTTTCGATTACTTTGGAACACAGGGATTAATTGATATCATATACTCCGTAGGATAGTTAATGGTTAGTTACATTGATATCTTAACTAATGTTTGACACTTTTCCTCAAAAACAAAGAAAGTTGAAGGAGAGTTTCGCAGACAGAAAACCTAAAACAATGAGTAGAGATCAAAAGATCACTACTGAACAAGTCATTTCCAAGCTCAAAGATGATGGCGATTTCGACCGTCTTCGCTTCAAAATCGTCCGTCAACTCAAACAAAACGTACTCTTTCTCTCTCTTCTCGTATTGCAGTTCTAAGAAAATCAAAAGCTTTTATTGTTATTATTATTTTAATTGTTCTTATTTGTGATTTGAGTTTTTGTTTGATATACTATTTAATATAATAGCAAATTAAAATTTCGTTATCTTATCATATGCACATTGAATAGTTTCTTGGAATTTGTGGCAATGAAATTGTGGGTGTCAATGCTGAAATTTTTTAGTGTGAAAATTATCTATATTTACTCCAATTTTCTATTATTGGTTGAATTTTGGAGGGAAAAAGAGTAGCAAGAATTTATTTTGGTGATATATACTCACTAATTATGTTGGGTTTTATCTATTTATAACAAATTTGTTTAAAGTTGGACTTTAATTGTGTTTTAGTAATCGACTGTAATATTGATGAAATTTAGTACTTCCTTGAATTAAATTTAATTGCGTTTGAGGTGTTTGTTATGATAAAGCATTGAGAGTGGGGTGAATCAATGGGGTATCTTAACAAGAGGGAAGTTGTGAAGGTAAGTGGAAAGTGGACTGTTGTTTTGAATGTCGCCAGGCAATGAGGCATTTGTTTCCCGAGTCTAGAAAAATCTAGTCTCATAGGTTGTTTCCAAACTAGTTACAACCTTGTGTCGAATCAATTCGTTGAGAGGTGTAACTGACTTGGTGATTGTTGTTCATCTTTAGGAGAGTAATCAGTAATGTCGTTGTTGTTACATTGACTGACAAATGAGGAATTACTCTTTTCTTAAGTTTTATTGTTGGATGTTTTCTCCAGAGAAAACACTTTATGGCCATTCAATGCCAAAAATTTTGTGTTAGATTTGTTTGTGAATCGGGAAACATTACCTAGGGAATTTCATCAACATAACTGGCTCTAGATAATGGATCTTACCCTAGAATATTTTGCATATCAATTGCTATATTTGGGATTTAGCTAGAAAATCAGTGCTCAAGCAGGTCTGCTGAAAGACATACCCCCCTCACCTCCTTTTTTCTCTGTTCCCCTAATATTGCAACAAGGAGAGAGATAGAGAGAAATAAAGATAGGAACCCGCATGATGAGAAGAGAGATAGAGAGAAAGCATGTGCAAATATGGTAGTGTTGCTATATTTTTGAAACTTTCTAAGATGGTAACTGTTGGAAATAGAAGAAGTACTATAAAAGAGGAAAAAAATTAAGGCTGCAGTTTTGTATAACCTATTGTTACAGACAACAAGGTTGTATAGGCGACTTTCTCTTATTTAAAAGCAAAGTTTGACAAGTGTTCTAGTGACTTCTCATCATCAGAAATATATACATCTGAATGTCTGATTCACCAATACTTGCAGAACCCTGGACATTCTGGTATAAAGAATAAGTTAATGGGTTCATTTATCTGCCTGAACCTGAAGTATGAGACAAGACACTAGGTTTTGTGATTAATACCCTGCTTGTGTTAAAGAGTACATTTACCTTTGTATCTTTCATCTAATTAACCTATTTGGGTAGAAGAGTTAATTGAGTTGTCCGTAGTCATGATTGGTTCATTGACCTTTCACTTGCTAACCTACTAGCAGTGGCTTAAGTGTTTCTCGACTACAACATTTGTTAATGGTGGGTGGATATTTGAGTTGTCAAGGATGAATTCAGCTGATTCTTTCTTTCCAAACCTGTTTGATAGTGGCCTACAAGTTGAATCAATGCATTTTATTGTTTTGAATTCAATATATGTTGAGAGTGAGTTCATTAGATATATAGCAAATATTGACCCTGATCTCCTACATTTGCGTTGAAATAATTACAATAACCTTAACTTGGTTGCCGTGATGCTACACTAAGGGTGTACTTTGTTCACCTGATTTTCACTTATCAGAACTTATCTTATCTTATGTGAAATTATTTGCACTTATTAGACCTTATAAAAACTTAATTTAATTGTAATTTGAACTTGGGTAACCCTAGTTAGAACTTATTTTTCCTGAACTTATCTTATCTAAACTTATGACACCTAATTAGTGAAATTAAGCTAAATTAAGCTGAACATAATAGGGCCTTATACTGAAATATTTTATGTTCCGACCACAAAAGAGGATCACTGAAAGTAGGAAATTACTACTGAGTACTCCATATCATTTAATGGAAAAAGGAGATAAATATGGCTTAAATATGTTGTTAATCTCTTGATTTGCATTGATTTTGTCATTTTAGGAAAATTGCACTTTGCACTTATTATTTTATTCATGTTAGTCTATAATTCAAAGCACATGTCAGTCCAGCTTAGTTATAAATCTTTGTGGCTTTGACATGCTTAGTCCATCTTAGTTATAAATCTTTGAGGCTTTGACAATGTGGTGGATGTCAAATAATTCTTATGCTATATATGCCTTTTGTCTTTTGAAGATAGTTTACTTTGGGAATATGAACAACTTATGCTTTTGAAGGCAAGTCCTCTCACTTTATAGTAATCATTAATTGCAATAGTTTGTTTACATGCTTGCCAACTAGCGTCTCTTGACTTTGGCCATTGATTTTTTTTATTCTTTAAGTGAAGTTATTAAAAGTAGTGTATAAAAAGATGCGCCTAGGCCTAATTGATTAGGGTAGAACACCTTTTTTGCTCTAGGCAAGGTGCATCAAAGAGTCACTTCCAAGAGGTGTACCAAAGTGCGCGCCTAGCAAGTGCTTTATCGCCTCATTGCGCCTTGAGCTTTTTTTATACATTAGTTAAAAGTTGATCTTTGAAAATATGTATTGAGAATTTGAGATGAATGTGGTAAGATCCCATATGGTTTTTCTTGCGTATAAATCTCAAAGATGGTCAAAGTGGAAATTATATTTGTTAAGGTCAAACTATTGCAACTAAAAAAATAAATAATTTCTTTATAATTTGAATGTTTTGTTTTTTAAAGATCATCACATCTACCACAATATCTTATTTCATTAACTATCTTTATAGTTAATAGCCTTAATGCTGTCAGCTTCATGCAGGATTCTACATTTCTTGTGATATTCAAAGAATTGCTTACAAGCTCGTTTTTATATCTAAGAATCTATCTTTGCTATATTTTCTTATTCTGAGCTTTTCTGGCTGCTGTAGGAGGATTTGCGTAACAATATTATTTCAGTGGTTAAGCAGTCCACTGCACTTAATCGTCCTGGTGCAGAAAATATGCAAGCCAGGAAACTTTGTGACGCAATTTATGAAGAAATTCGGTGAGTTTTAACATCCTCTGTGCTATATGTGAATTGTGATGTAAGCATTGTTTTAGTTGAATTAACTTATTCATCTTGATAATGAAAAATCTTGCTCTCTAGGTAATTCAGCCTAGTCCTGCACATGCGAAGTAAGTTGGTGGTTTTGTGCATCACATATTCACATATATATGGTGTAGCTACTTTCTAATTAATATATACTCTCACATCTGTGGACAGGACTATGGTCTTTTCAACTTGGAAACAAGAAACAGAGTAACAAAATATTATATTTAGTCAAATGAATGTAAGCTTAGCAAAATAAGTTGAGTTCAACATAACTAAGTTCAGACAAGCTCTGCTGAAAATAAATTTGATTTAACAAAGAAAAGTTCAGTTCTGCAAATTTAAGTCTGATTGGGCAAAAGATTAACAGGTTCAGATCTACAAAATATAGTTAATTCAGTATAAATAAGTTGAAAGTAGCCTAGTGCATAGACACTGTGCTCTGCCATTCTTGTTTTGGCTGTATGTTTATGAAAAAACCTACAGCACGAAGCAAATTCTTCAATAGGTTGTTTTTACTAACCTTGATAATGTAAGGCTTGCAGATTTGATTAATCTCTTGTGCTGAGTGTTAAGCTTTGTGTTGCCAGAGATTACATTGCAGTTCATTGACTTCTTTACTTAGAGATTAGGTGCTGCAGTTTGTTAAGACTTTGGTTGCTTATCATGATTGGCTCATTTCTATGTTTCTAGCACAGCTTTTTACTGCCCTAAAAAATTTCATATTTCATGTCTTCTAGCTGTAGAACTCTGACATTCCATTTTATGTAGGCAGAGGTGATGGTTAATTGGTTGTGTTGCATCTTTGATACAGTGAAAAGGCGATGAATCAAATTTCAGATGGCTTATGGGAGATTATTCGATCAGGTGATGACATGAAAACTGAAATAAAAGAAACAGTTCACTCAGTCTATGATAAACTACTGAATCCTGAGCGGAAAGCGATTGATTCAACGTCTTCCTCAGGTCAAGTGCCAGTTGGTAGAGGAACTGAGTTTAATGGTCATGTCATTGTTTCTGGGGAAAGCAATGGTATAATGTCTAATGGAGAGCATAAAGAAGCCTCAGGTTTCTCTTTGCATAATAATACTGCCACAAACAATCATGATTCAAAACCCGAGACACAGCAGCCTCATCCTGGTAATAATAGTTTCACTGAACAGGGTATAGAACCTCATTGGCTCAATGGTCCATTGCAGTCCAAAAAAGGTGATTCCAGTTCACCTCCTGGCTATTCCTCATCAGGAAAGCGCAAGCGAACTTCCGATGCCCATGCCCATGCCGATGCAGATGCAGATGAAGACCCTGATATTCCACCAGGTTTTGGTTAACCAGCCTCACTAATTATAGAGATGAAGCATGATTAGCCTTTTAACCACGAACACTTTTGTACTTTCTTTCTTTTTTTAGGGTAAGGAGGACTCTAACTAGATTTCAATTCTCAAAGTTTAGTTTTTATTTATTTTTATTTTTTTTAACCATTGTTCGCGGGCCAGACACTTATAAATGAAGGGGAAGGTTAAGAGATTCTTTCCTTCAAGTACCTACAGTCAGGAGAATTTAACCTTGTAATCTCGGTTACAAGGTGAATTCCTAACTAACTACACCGAGCCATCTTGGTACAAATACTTTTGTAGTCACTAATTCTTTTCAGAGTATTGTTAACTTGTCAAGTGCTATCGGTAGAATTATCCAAGTATATAAATTGTAATTGTTTCAGTCACACGTTTTATAACAATTTATTTGTTAATGTTGATGAAAAGTTTGTTTCTGTACCAGGATAAGTTCTTTATATTCTGAAACAAATATTATGTCTTTATTTTATTATTCAATTTGCACTATTCTGCACACATTTATCTTATTGTTAATACTTTTCCAGCTAATTTTCCTTCGCAAAAATCTTTTTTTTTTTTTTTTTTGAAGAATTGCAAAAATGATTGTATTACCTCTTAAGTAGGGGATTAGCAAACAATTGATTTTCAACAAATGAATCTTAGCAAGCTGTATACATCAAAAGATTTTCTTAATGTCAAGTTGATAAAATCATGAATCTAAATGTAAAGTTTTATAAGTGCTAACATTTTTACTATCTTCCCTTTTGATCAAAACCTGACTATGAAGGAATGATGCAATACAAGTAGCTTTTTTAACATCACAATTAAGCAAATTTGGCACAAAAGCAACATTCATAAAAGACACTTCAAGATCCTATCCCAAGGAAGAGGTGTCAATTCGGATTTCTAAGTTGAGTTGAGTCAAATCGGGTTTTATCTTAAAGGTGATTCATGCTATATTTTTGTTCATACAAGTTAAAATATGAATCGGAGTTCTTTTGGGTTCAAATCACGTTAGTCGGGGGACATCTCTAGTACACTGTACACCGGTACCTTAACCCGATAGACCCTTTTAATACAGTGAGTGCCTTAAAAAGACAGAAAAAAGACCAAAAAATGACGATTCTGAGGTCAATAGTCACAACAACAACCGCCATAGCAGCTACAGCTCTGCCTGCTGCGTACGTCGCATCTTCTCTCTCCTCTTCATCTTCTTCACCATCTTCATCTTCTTCTCCCTTCTCGAAGTCTCTGGACTTCCGCTTTCTCTCTCCTCAATCACCTTCGACTTCGGGGGTTGCTGCTAGATTCGGCCTTATCAAGAGTTTCAGCTCTCCGCCTTCTGCTGTTCAAATGGAGAATCCTAAGTCTTCTTCTCATGTTCGTCTCTTTCTCTCTCTCGCTATCTCTCTCTAAGTTGAAGATGTTATGCTGATTGATTGTCATTGATTTTGCAGGAAGATTTGAAGTTGCCTGACTTAATGGTGAGTTTTTTAATTGATTGTGGAATTGAGTAATTTTTGTACTGATTGAATTGGGGAATGATGTAATTGATTAATATGATACGATAATTTGAATTGGAGATTGATAAATTTTGTATAATTGATTCAAGTGGAGAATCAGAATGATGCTTCAATTAATACCAAGTTTAATGATTTATAATGATTGATTATTGAATTTGGGAATCGTTTATGCAAACTAAGGCGAAATTTCTGCTCTAAGAACTGAGAGAATGTTTGAAGTTGAATTTCTATGCTTAAATGTTAATTCTTTTAATTGAGAATTGGAGAAATGTGCAAGATTGTAATTATATGTGTTAAAGGACCAACTCAACCAAAAGCTTAAGCTGATGGTTGCAGGGTAAGCCATATTAACATGTGGTATTGAATCAAAGGGGAATCTGGATGATAGTGAATGTCAAAAAAGTTATCTGAAACGGCCAAACGGTTGCACTTCAGAAGACTATAATTCCTAGAGTTAATTTGTGCATTAAGCTTACATTATTATGTATATGCATCTTATTCTTGTCCATGTCACGAATATGATAACGACAAAAGGCATAGCACAGGAATGCTGCAGTTCAGGAGTGTATGGAGTTCTTTTATAGCAGTCGTTGTTTACCATGCAGGTGGTGGCGGCAGTATCTATGATTTATACTCTAGGTTTATCTTTCGGATGGTTTATCTTTTAGCAATAATCCTTGTTAATGATTTTAGGTACTTGTCTATGTTCTATGATTTTAGGCGATGTAGATCTAATTGCAGAAACACTAACAATACGCTTATGCCCTATTGGAAGAAGATATATTTTTTCATTTGTAGGAAACCCCTCCCCGTATACCATTTTGTCTGTTGCCTGATGCATTTTGTTGCTTTTACTACCTTAATGTTGCTTCAGCTTGAACTACAACAACTACTTTTTTTTTTCTTTTTTATTACTTGAGAAGATGATCGTTTCTTTGCTTTTGAACAGACAGAATTTATGGTGGATATGAAGTGTGAAGGTTGTGTTAGTGCTGTCAAGAGTAAACTAGAGACTCTAGATGGTATTTGCTAATGACTTGAATCACTAGCACATCTGTAACGTGTTGAATTCTTGTTTTCATTTGTTTTATGTATATTTTTGTTTGCTTTACTTCACTAGGAGTTAAGAGTGTTGAAGTGGACTTGAGCAATCAAGTTGTTAGGATTCTTGGTTCTTCACCTGTGGTATCTATGGAAAATGCTTTGGAGCAAACTGGACGTAAAGCACGATTGATTGGTCAAGGAGTACCTGAAGGTTGGTTACTTGAAAAATCTTTGGTTCATAACTATTTTTAATTTGTTATTGGGTGATTTCTCGCCCGATAAAGTGCTGTACCATTTGAATGATGTTTGAAGGGAAGTGACATTATTTTGTGTCAATTGAATAATTCCTTACTATGACTGGCTTTTCATGGTTTATATGTTTATCTGTCATGGTTTCCTTACTGTTATACTATATTGTTCTTCATGTCTTCAATGTGCTGGACTCAATTGTGGTACAGGGCACCATGTATTATATAAAGCTTGTTAGGGTGATTGTTTTCTCTCAAAGTCGCATGGTTGAATTTGTTTCGTGCCAACTGAACTTAGTAAATTGAAGTAATGGGTCAAAGTTCATGGATTCTCTGCAAACTTAGTGTCTGGTCAATGTGGCTGCAATCTTTATTGTATTTTTTGGAGGGGGAGTTATTGGTGATTGTGATTTCTTGAAGTACACAGATGAGAGTAGCTTGAACCAAACACATTTGAGTGAAACTCCTTCAATTTTGAATCATTTGTAATATAGTTTGACACCTGCCATCATGATCTTCCCGCTTGTGTCTCGGCCAGTTTAGATTGTAACCTAAAGCTTTTGGGAAACAGCTAGATTTTATTTTGTTTTTATTATATTTTTTGTAGATTTACTGGAGGTTGCCTACATTCATTAGGGGAGCTATGCTGGTCCATCAGTTACAATTATTCATTACTTCATTAGGGAAGCTAATTTGGGGTATGTTTTGTGAAATTTAATCACAACTTCTCACTTCGATGTAGGTTTAACTAATGGGGGTAGCCCTTGAGCTATAGGCTTTGATCATAATGTTTCTAATATCCTGCAACTATGCTGGTGCCATGAGCTATAGTTAGTCATGTTTATGGCTTCCCTTGGTTGTAGTAAATGCCTCCAGGCATGAGTAAGTCGACTTATCTTCATATAATTTCTTAGTTTGTGGTGAGGAAGAAAAAATTTAGGTGGAGTGCAATTTATTGGCTAACTGGAAGATTTTAAGGCTCTCCAATTTTTTCAGATGTCAATGAAGATGATAGGGAATGAGGATGTTTTTAGAGCATGGAACATCTCAAGGGAGGTATCAGATATCAATATCTTATGAAGGTTGTAATTCTCTAGACTTAGATTATTGGAACATCCCATGAGATTCCTTCTAAATTGATTGGAAAAGGTCATTTAGTCTGTAGCAAGGCATACTATCTATTTTTTTTCTTTTTACCACGAATCAGTGATTACATTATTTCATGGCATTGTGTGTGTGTGTGTGTGTGTGTGTTTTGGGGGGTGAGGGGGTGGGTGGGTGGGTGGGAATTTACATGTAATACGTTAGATGTTTATACCCTGCAAGTTGCAACTACTTGAGTGTCACTGTATGTAATTTTGTACTGTTGCATTATTTATAGGGATGCTGACCTTGTGTCATTGAAAGCAGATTTCCTTGTGTCTGCGGCAGTTGCCGAGTTTAAAGGTCCAGATATTTTCGGTGTGGTTCGCTTTGCCCAGACACACATGGAGTTGGCCAGAATCGAGGCCAATATCAGTGGGTTGCCACCTGGGAAACATGGCTGGTCTATAAATGAGTTTGGTGATCTGACTAAAGGTCCAGTCAGCACGGGGAAAGTGTACAATCCACCAATCCAAGGAAGTGAAAGTGAGGTATTGTGGTCAATTCATTTTCTTGCATGTACACAAGTTATCGACGTGCATATTCTTACATGTATAAAAGGGAGGACATTATGTCGGTTTTTGGGGGGGAGGTACCTTCTTTAAAGCTGGGTTCAAATGCAACAAAACGAACCTTAGTACCTTAAACATCCTAATATTGGCGAGGTTTGCTGAGGGTCAGGTGTAGGTGGCCTTTATAAATGATAGTAAGGAAATAATAGTAAAAACTGTGGTCCATGGAAACATTAAATAGAAAAATTCCGTGTACATAGAGTTTGTAGCTGATTTTTATTTATATTGTGAAATGACGGGTGTGTAATTTTCTCCAGCCACTGGGTGACCTGGGAACATTAGAAGTTGATGAGAAAGGCGAAGCTTATTATTCAGGAATCAAGAAGATGCTGAGGGTTGTTGATTTAATTGGACGGTCCATTGTCTTGTACGCATCCGAGGATAAGTCTGATCCTGGCCTTACAGCTGCAGTGATTGCTAGGAGTGCGGGAGTAGGTGAGAACTATAAGAAGCTTTGTACATGCGATGGAACCACGATCTGGGAAGCAAAGCCTGATATTGTCACTAGCAAAGTCTGATTGCATCATTAAACCATACAACTTGTACAGATGTATGGGCTTTTTTCAGCTACTTACCAATTACAGGTCCTCACATATGGATTGTTGTACTACTACCTCCATCTTGATATAGTTGTTACACTTTTCGTTAAAATTATATCGACAACTATTTCCATGAGGGAGTTGTACCTAAGAACATCATATGTATTGAGGAAATACCGAAATAATACAATCATTGTATACTATTGTCAATTCCAAATATTTTGGAGGTCTTTGAAAGAGATTTGATTGCGTCTATTTGTCTCCGCACTATCTCACCTGACACTTGAATAGAATCATAAGACATCCAACATGAAACATTTAAACCTATACTATTGAATTTGTTTTACAGCTGTAATGAAGTTTATAGCTATATTT